TTATTAATAAATATATTTATCTATACAATAATATTTTTAAATACACATTAAATATTTGTTAAGACATGATGAAATTTTGGATATACGATGAATATTGTCCAAACATACATTGAACATTGTAAAATAAACTGTTAACATTTTTTTACGTACACCACAAACACAAACATTCTTCAGCAAACAACACACAACAAATATTTTTTAAATACATACTAAAAAATATATTTTTAATACACAACAAACATTTTGAAACGTGTGACAAATGTGTTATGAATATTTTTTAACATACACAATAAATATTATTTAATATGTGATGAGCATTTTTACATGTATGTTTGTATGTAATTTATATATATATTTAATAGTCTTTGTGGTATGTTAATCAAATATTTTCCCAAAGAATAAAAGAATGGACGTTAGTAGCCGCCCTATGATGGGTGTTTTCACTTATATTCGACACACTCTTGCACACACCCACTTGCCACTTTGTGGTCTACACAATGATAAAATAAGAAACCTTGAGTGCGCGAGACAAACACACATTCCTATGCATTAATGCACGCTACATAGACAAACACGTAGATGCCAAACACAACTATAGTGGGTGCAGCAAGGCGCGCCATACTATCTAGTTGTGTTGTAATCTTGTACGAGTCAAGTTCTCAAGAAATATGCATCTGTCTCCGAAAGGAATAGACACCCTCCCCAAGCAATAACCTACAATGAATGGTTTTCCATGCCCTTTTTGAGAAAAAGGGTTTCCCCCCGCTTTATATTATAAAGCATCCAACTGATACATCTAACTTGCTGGGGCTGCAGCACAACCAAACCCAAAAGGAAAAAACAAGAGAAAGAAAAGAGAAACACATGTCGACACCGGCATATCAACTAAGCGACGAAGACCGGAAACCGCTGCACCCTCCGGAGAAGTACCACCGCATTCCTAGCATTCCGGAGCGTCGTGTACCAAGCAACACCTTCAAGAAGGAATGCGACGGCGCCGCTGCTGATGCCCAAACGGGTCCTAGGGTTTCCCCCAGTACGCGAAGGGCAGTGGGGAAGGGGTATACCCGACGCCCTTCAGGAAGGTCTGGCGGCGCCCGCAGGCGTCACCGCGTCGGAGTCGGACGAGCCGCCAGGGATTTCTCCCGACCCAAACAACCACCACCACCCGTCCCGTCACTTAGCTAGATTAATGTGGAGCTATCTTAATTAAGAAGTTGTTAGATTGTAATTAGAATCCCTCGTGTGCTGGAGGCTTGCTAGTGATCCTTAAGAGTCTGACGCAAAAAGGAAGGAGCTAGCTGAGCTAGTCGAACACTTACTGGAAATTGAGGAGATACAGACCATGCAGCGCTCAAGGGCCACATGGCTCACTTGTGGTGACCGAAATACAAAAATTTTCCAAGACTTTGCTTCGGCCAGGAGGAAAAGAAACTATGTCAAGAAACTGAAAGATGATGGAGATAGCTTTATCGAGGGTATTCCAGAGTTGAACTCCCATATTCATGAGTACTTTTCGAATCTATTTACATCTGAAGTGCAATACACAGATCCCGGCTTATTGCAAAAGGTGCAGACCAAGGTCAACACACAAATGAATGATTTCTTAATGGCCCCTTTCTCGACAGAGGATGTTAAAAAAGCAGTGTTTAGCATAGGGGATCTGAAAGCCCCTGGCCCAGATGGTATCCATGCTATTTTCTTCAAGAAGTTTTGGCACGTCATTGGAGAAGATATATCAAGGGAGGTGTTGCAAGCAATCAACTCCACGAAATACCTGATGAGTGGAATGATACGTTAATTGTAATGATTCTGAAAGTTGAAACACCCGAGCTGGTCAGTCAATTTCGCCCCATAAGTCTCTGTAATGTTCTTTATAAAATCATCTCCAAAATGTTAGCATTGCGGTTGAAGAATATCTTGCCTGATATTATATCTCCCACACAAAGCGCTTTTGTTTTGGGAAGGATGATTATGGATAACATTTTGATTGCTTATGAATGTGTGCATAAGATCAAAAATAAGAGAACTGGTAGTGGCCTTTGTGCAGTAAAATTGGACATGCATAAAGCTTATGATAGGGTTGAATGGTCATTCTTACATGATATGATGGCGGCCTTGGGATTTCATGAACACTGGATAGATATGATGATGGCATGTGTGACCTCTGTTAAGTACAAAGTAAGATTTAATTCCCAAGAGACAGAAGTTCTTGTTCCTACTAAGGGTTTAAGGTAGGGAGATCCTATCTCCCATTATTTGTTCCTCTTATGTGCGGAAGGTCTTTCTAGTTTATTGCAGTATGAAGAAGAAGCTGGTGGCATCGAAGGAATCAAAGTGTGCAGAAATGCACCATCAGTATCACATCTATTATTTGCTGATGACTCTTTGATTCTTATGACAACAAATACCTTAAATGCAGCTTCCTTACAGCATGCTCTAGAAACCTATTGCTAGAGTTCGGGACAAATGGTTAGTGTGAACAAATCAAGTGTGTTCTTCAGTCCAAACACTTCGGCTGTATCTAGGACTGAAATTTGTCAAATCCTAAATATTGATACTGAAGCCTTATCAGATAAGTATCTTGGATTGCCTGCATTGGTGGGTGCAGACCGGAGTTATTGTTTCAGACACTTTTGTGAAAGAATCAAGGAGAGGTTAAAAGGATGGATAGAGAAACAACTCTCCACAGGAGGTAAGGAAATACTTATTAAATCCGTTGCCTAGGCAATTCCAGTGTTTGCAATGTCTGTATTCAGTATTCCGAAAGGGATTTGCAAGGAGATCACAGATATGATTGCGGAGTTCTGGTGGGGAGATGACGAGGATCGTAAAAGAATGCATTGGTATACGTGGTGGAAAATGTGCTATCCCAAAGTTGAAGGTGGCATGGGGTTCAGGGACTTGTATTCATTTAACTTAGCAATGCTCCCAAAACAGTGTTGGCGCCTTATTACTAACCCGGAGTCCCTATGTGCTCGAGTGTTAAAGGCAAAATACTACCCTAATGTTGATTTACTTCATGCAACACTTAAAAACGGTGCATCATTCACATGGTAGAGTGTGATGAAGGGTTTGGAGACTTTCAAGTTGGGATATATCTGGCGCATTGGTACTGGAGAGAGTGTTAACATTTGGCAGGATCCATGGATACCTGCAAGTCCAGACCGAAAGGTAATCTCAAGCCGGGGCCAATCTCTTGTAACTTCAGTTAGCGAGGTACTGTATCCTTATACAAGAACATGGGATGAAGAACTCATCAGATCGATCTTTAATCCAGTTGATGTTCAAAGGATATTACATATTCCAGTCAATACTAGCTCTTTTGATGATTTCATTGCATGGCATCCTAAACGTAACGGCATTTTCACTGTTCGATCAGCGTACAAAGTGCAATGGGAGCGATCTTTTAGGGCACATGCAAATAGGACAGGGCGTCCAGCAGGCTCTCAAACTCCGGAGATTTGGAGGAAACTTTGGAAGCTCAAGCTCCCACGCAAAGTTTCTATCTTTTGTTGGCGGGCCTTGCATGGAATAATCCCCCTAAAATCCATTCTTGCTAATCGCCATGTTGGAAGTGAAAGCGGGTGCCCAATATGCCATGGAGGGGCCGAAGATATTAAACATCTTCTGTTCGGCTGCATTTCATGTGAAGGAATTATGGAGAAACTTGGGAATATTAGACATTGTTGAACAAGCTATGGAAGGGCAGCGATCAGGATCCGTGGCACTGGAAAATTTGCTGCTGATGGACGATCGCTCGCTTGCTCTTCAGCCAGGCTTAGATGTTAAACAAGTCATTGCAGTGGGGGGATGGTATCTGTGGTGGATCCGTCGTGAGATCACACACAATGGTTCACCTCCACTAATCTCTAGATGGGCTATGTCGGTAATGGCAATTGCTAACAATTTCAAGGAAGCAAATAAAAAATCCCGAGATAACCAGATACAGAGATGGACGAAACCGGAACCGAAGTTTGTCAAGGTGAACATTGATGCAACATTTTTTGAGAATGAGAGGGCGGGGGCAACAGCAGCAGTAACCAGAGATGACAAGGGGAGGTTCTTGGCAGCCCAATGCACCTTTTTACCGCACGCCGTGGACGTGGTATCCTCTGAAGCTCAAGCGATGAGGGATGGACTTGTATTAGCAAATTCCTTGGGCTTTCCTAGAGTTGAAGCTGAATCAGACTCTACAACGGTGATAGAACAATGCTCAGGCCAAAACAGATGGTGGAACAAAAGTAAACTCAAAAGCGTAAAAAAGACAATGCACTGAGACAACACGCCTCCCATAGGAGGACACCGACATCAGCCATGTCACACCCGTCTGTGTCGAGGGCTCTTACCGGGTTGGAGCGAGTCAAATTCAACAATGTCGATGAAGGCCAAGCTGGTCGATCGCCTTGGTGCACGCCGAAGCCTCTTCTGGTAGCAAAGCCCGTGCATGGTCCAAAACATCAGCTTTGGCCGCGCGAAAGTCGCTCGGATCAAACAAGACCACCTCGCAAAGAAAAAAGATCAAACAAGACCACACATACTGCAAAATTCAGCTCAACTTACCAAGTTTTTGTTGCATTATATCCTTGCATATTCTGCAAATCTCAGCCCAGAACAATTGACTGCAATACATTCTTGCATTATACTGCAAAATTCAGCTCGAATTACCAATTTTTCTTTTCTGAGAACGTGAGGCTTTGCCAAAAGGTGCCGTGAACAATGGGCTTCGCAGCTTGTGGGCTGTGAGGACAACAAAAAGCCTAATAACGCGGCAAGTCATTAACCCTAGCTCAGGCAGGCCCAGGCCGCACGCGCACTCTGCTTCTCCGACGACGAGCGACGGCGGCGCGGGCGACACACCAGCGAGCGGAGCGGCGGCGACTCCGCGCGGACCGCGACCAGGTTTGACCATCAGCCCGTCGCTCCCGAATCCCCAGCTCCGAACCAAGCTTGGAGTGACAACATCTCCGATCGATCAACCTCGCAGATTCGTCGACGCCATGTCGTCGTTCGCCGGCGTGTCGGTCGTCGACGGCGTCGATCTGTGCCCCCCTTGCGCCGGGTCGGCCTGCGAAACCAGCGCGGACTGCGGGTACCACCTGCTCGTGGTCCAGGACTACTCGCGCGCCAAGGAGAAGGCGCCTACCGGGGAGAGCATCATCTCCCGGCCCTTCAGGGTCGGATGCCACACGTGGCAGATCGAGCTCTTCCCCAACGGCGACAACCCGAGCTGCGCCGACTTCGTCTCTCTCTACGTCTGCCGTCTCGACGACTATCTCAACAATGCCGTGGATGCCAAGTTCAGTCTCAGTTTCGTCGACCAGGCCGAGAAGCAGAAGCCGGTGTACATTCTTGGGACCGAGACGTGCAGCTTCCCCCATGGCGGTTCCCGAGGCCACCGCAAGTTCATGAGGAAAGACGCCCTTGAACGGTCGGAGAATATGCGGCGTGATGGTTTCACCGTCCGCTGCGACATCATGATCTGCTGCGAGGAGGATGATGCCAGTGGCACCGGCCCGCCTCGCTACATATGCCAGCATTTTAGCACTCTCCTTGAGAGTAAGGTGGGTGCTGATGTGACATTCGAGGTCAGCGGCGAGACATTCGCTGCGCACCGGTGCGTGCTTGCTGCCCGGTCGACGGTCTTCATGGCGCAGCTCTTTGGCCCCATGAAGGAGGGCACCACGTCCAGTGTCATACGGATCGAAGACATGGAGGCAAAAGTGTTCAGGGCTTTGCTTAGGTTCATCTACACAGATTCATTCCCTGAGATGGAGAAGGAATGCGTGCGGGAGGAAGCACAAGATGTGGAACAAGGACAAGAAGAGGATGAAATGCATCTGCAATGGCTGCGAGGCTTATTTACGGCGGCAGACAGATATGACCTCCAACACCTCAAGTTCATCTGTGAAAAGCGGTTGTCTGAGGACATAGGTGTGAGTTCGGTGGCGTCCACTCTTGTTCTGGCCGAGCAGCACGACTGCAGCGGGTTGAAGATGGCGTGCTTCAAGTTTATTCAAGCTCAACCTTCCTCCTGTTTGAAAAGGGTAATGTCAACTAATGGCTGGGGGCATTTAATGACGACTTACCCCTCTATTTTGAATGAGGTCATTGCCAAGCTTGCTTCGAAAAAGCGTAAGAAGCACTCTACATAGATTGTAGTTCTGCGTCTTGCTTTTGTCTCGTCCTGTAATTTGCCTATATGCTGCAGTATCAGAAATATCCAACATATGGGCAAATTGTCTCTATGCAATGGATGGTCTGTTAATTCAGGTGTAGAACTGCATTGCAGCCCTGTGCAAGTTCCCTAGCTAGTCAGTCTTATCCTCGTGTATTTCTCTGTGCACTAATTGTGTTGTATATTATTGCTCTGTGCCTTCTTCATGATGTACTCCGTAGATGGTTTTGGGAAGGCATTTTATGAACCTAGATTTATGGGAAAGAATTTGCAAGACAAAACAGGGGTCTCCAAGAATTGTGGTTACAGTGACAATGATAATGTGAAAATCTTGGTCCAGTGCCTAAGAACCTTCTCCTAGTTGCTTGGGTATACTTTTTCTTTACATTATTTATCATAAAATCCTTATCTTCCTCACTCTGGTTGTTGTTTCATAATACATTAGAGACAAGTTTTGCATCTACTTTGGTAAGAATTTGATGATCTCTGCAATGGTTACCATCATCCTGGAAAATTCTCCTGGGGTGCTATTCATTACCATATACCACAATCGCAGGTTCCAAGAAATTCTTCAGCTTTCTCCACTAGATAAAACTGCTGGGAGCTACTCACCTAATATATCGTTTCGATTGTTTTGCGCAGTGGTCATCACTTGAGTGAATCTTTTATGGTGAAGTGGGGTTTAAAATGTTTGAAGCTTCTGGATGGCTTCTCTTTCCTCCCCTCGTGCAAGACTGGTTCACTACTCGGAAATATTCAGCTCGTTGAGATCGCACTTGAGATGGAAAAACCAAAATGATCTTCAGGTAGATAATGGGAGTACATTATCTTCATATTGCTGATTATATAAAAAAAAATACTGCATCTGCTGTTCAGGATGGTTCTTTTTCTTCATGTGTTCCAGCCTTACAGGAGTTGGCTGGCAGCAAGGACATGACAATGGAATGTTTGGGTCTTCACTACCTATGATTGCACATTAGGTAACTCCAGGAGCTCATAAATCATCCACAAAAATTTCTTTCTGGAAGGAGTTCTTTTTTGAGAGGAGGATTTGTTTATTGGAAGAGAAAGGTTCTTATTTTTTTCGGGTTTCGTCATTAATTGAACCATGCAATAGATTTGGCAAGCAAAAACACAATGCCTGATCCAACCGATCATAATTACAGATGTTCATTGCTTGTACATTCATTGGTTGAAGTATTGCCTTGTTTAAATTCATGAATCAACAACATTAATCCATGCGTTTCAGTGTAGTTCCTCCCAATAGTGCACTAATCTAATGTGAACCTTGTATGTTTAAATCTGGAGCTTTTGTTTCGATAGACCATAGAAAATGTGCTAGTAGTTGTAGCTGGAAGTAATGTGATTCCATAGCATGCGATTGCCTGAAAGGAAGGCAGAACCAGGTAGAATTATAATCGAATGAACTGTTCCGTCTCCAAATTCCTGACAGAAGAAATTATGCGAACCTCATTCATTATTCATATCAAACTAACATACATTTCTCAAGCATTGTCCGTGGGGAAACAATCAAGTTATATAGTTAAGGAGTCAAAGCACATAAACTTTCTATGAACTTCCAATGATTTCCACCAAAGCTTTCTCTGCAGTTCGGTAGACTATTAAGTTTGAATGTATCAGAATAATGCTACTACTAAATTGTCAGAAAAGCCAACGAACTCCCTCACTACGGCCACTACAAGAGGCTTCAATATCATGCCGATGCAGTTATGCGGAGTTGGCTCTCGAATTCTACACACCAAAAATGGCATCTGTGCGAGGAAAACAGGCCAATGGCGGATGAGATCTGAGCTCCGGCTCTGAATTGAAAAATAAATACGCAACTGGCCAGCGTGAATTCCTCTGCATGGATAAAAAAGGAAACAGATGTGCAAGCGCGTGGGACAAAAGAAACGTTGTAAGAAAACAGTGCTCATTATGAGCGTTTCAATGGAACTGAGCATGCAACGAATCAAAGTCCGGAATCGCGCTTGTCCAGTTCATCATTGTCTGGAAAGCAAAAGGGTGTAGCATTAGCACTGACTACCTTTTGGTGTCAGCAGATTCCTCTCAAGTTATTGCAGCTCTCAAAGCTAAGAAAGTTATCCTTAACTTTGAGCCAGTCAGCTGGTTTCTGCATGAATATTGCTAGTTAGTATTAGGCAACAAGTCGATGACATAACTTGTTTGCTTTGCGATGAGCCTGATCGAAGTATTAAGCACTTACGTTGTTTGACGTGTGATCTCTAGACATCATTGGTCTGAGTTTAGCCATGACTCTGAACTACAATTTTAACATCACGCTGATGATTGTTCTGTTAGCCGTTCATTCATTGGTCCGGGCATGCACTCCTCGTTGCATTTAGCATGTTCACATGGGCATCTCTTTATGAAATCCGTGTGTTTTCAGGGGAAAGCAAATTAAGCAATGAAGACAGGCATGCGCTATCTCTCTTTGGGATCTTGTCGAGCATGAATCACTGTACCTGAAGGTGTATTATTCACTGCTGGGCTCCGGACGCCATGTACCTGAAGGCCAACACCAACTGATTTCTCAAGGCCTGGAAGACGGTAAACTCTTGGCAAGAAACACAACACAGCATACGCACTAAATCTGCGGATGTGTTGTTCAAACAGATCATGTTTGGCCTTCCTTCCACAGTTCCAGCTGGAAACTCACAAGTGTGTAGCAAGCAAGAAGAACAAACTCCAACATTTCAGCACCGTTCAGCAACTGTGTGTAAATTGAGCGCGGTCACTGGACCATTTTACTTGACCAAATCCGCAACTAAAAGCGCAAGAAGAAGAAAAAGGAGGCACGGCAGATATTTTCATGGGTTCAAAGAGGAGTGCTAGTGGGGACATGCAACCATGTCATTTGCCTGATGTTTTGTTGAATCAGGTCAGATGCTTATAAACTACATCGGATGGTAGAGAAGCCGAGGGGAAGTTCCGTGGGTCTAACAGGTAACAGCTCATGATCGGGAGGGGCAATTTTCCTAGAATAACATTTGGTCCAGTCGGTGCCCTCCAAATTTGTGGCAATTCCTGTGGAGAATCACGCACGAAAGTCTTGTTAGATAATAACAAGAAATAAACGAGACATGGAGACACGGATTTTTACGCGGAAACCCTTACGGGAGAAAACCACGGACGCACGAAGGCGCAATCACTATGAGGAGGAGTATTACAAGCACGAGACGACAGACCGTCTGAGGTGCGACTACATGGGGTATATAAGAGGGGCAACACATAGGAGTCCTTGTAGGACAAGTAAACAAGTTGTACTCGTACGCGTCGACGCCAACGCAAAAGCCCACACCGGTTGTACTACGTCTAGTCCAACCCGGTATTAGAATTTGGATCACAATTTAACAATCTTCACCTTGAGTCAAATTCCCTCCAGTAGTCGAAGAAAGTGAATAGCTCCATCCAAATCAGCATAAACACCTTGTGCGTCAAAGTCCATAGGACTAGTGAGAAATACCAACTAAGCCTGAGCAAAGCTCAAACTTATTGGTCGGAACTGGCTTTGTCATCATATCAGTAGGATTATCATGAGTACTTATCTTGCATACCTTCAAATTGCCTTCAGCAACAACATCTCGAATATAATGAAATCTGACATCAATGTGCTTTGTCCTCTCATGATACATTGGATTTTTTGTAAGATATATGGCACTTTGACTGTCAGAAAATATGGTAGGGCAAGATGAATCTCCACAAAGCTCAGTGTATAAACCTTTCAACCAGATAGCTTTTTTGCATGCCTCAGAAATAGCCATATATTCGGCATCAGTAGTGGAACAAGCCACAATAGACTGCAAAGTTGCTCTCCAACTCACAGCACAACCACCAATGGTGAAAACATAACCTGTGAGTGATCTTCTCTTATCCAAATCACCGGCAAAATCAGAATCAACAAAACCAACAGGTCCATCTCTAGATTTCCCAAACTGTAAATAAGCATTAGAAGTACCATGCAGGTATCTGAAAATCCACTGAATTGCTTTCCGATGTTTCTTTCCAGGATTAGCCATGTATCTACTGACAACACTCAATTCATATGATAAATCCGGACGAGAACAAACCATGGCATACATAAGTGAACCAACTGCACTCGGATAGGGAACTCTAGACATGTACTCAATATCTGCATCTGACTTAGGACATAAAACTGATGATAATTTGAAGTGTGCAGCTAACGGAGTACTTACTGGCTTGGCATTATGTATATTAAAACGATGAAGAACTTTATCAATATATCCCTTCTGACTTAGATATACTTTTTCAGACGGTCTATCTCTAGATATTTTCATGCCAAGTATTTTCTTTGCTGCACCCAAATCCTTCATCTCAAATTCATTACTCAATTGCTTCTTTAGTTCATTAATATCTGACATACTCTTTGCAGCAGTAAGCATATCATTAACATAAAGGAGCAAATAAATAGTTGAACCTTTAACAGTTTTCAAATAAACACAACTATCATAATTAGACCTTTTGAAACCTTGAGAGAGCATAAAGGTGTCAAATCTCTTGTACCACTGTCTTGGGGATTGCTTCAATCCATAAAGAGATTTCTTTAACTTACAGACAAGCTTTTCTTTTCCAGGAATAACAAAACCTTCAGGTTGTTCCACATAAATATCCTCTTCTAATTCTCCATGTAAAAATGCACTTTTAACATCCAATTGTTCAAGCTTAAGATCATGCATGGCAACAATACCGAGTAAAGTGCGAATAGAGCTATGCTTCACAACAGGAAAAAAGACTTCGTTATAGTCAATACCTGGAATCTGACTGTAACCTTTAGCAACTAACCTTGCTTTATATCTTGTCTCATCATTAGGAGAAACACCTTCTTTCCTCTTGAAAACCCACTTACAACGAATATGTTTCTTCTTTCTAGGCAATTTTACTAAATCCCAAGTGCCATTCTTTTCAAGTGATTCCATCTCATCATGCATAGCGGTC